GCGGGTGGGGGGGGCCGGCAGCCGGTACATTTTGATGAGGTGCAAGGAAGTCGAGTCGCAGCTGGACTGAAGCGATAAGGACAGACGGGACAGCTCCGTCCTCATCTCCAAGAGATCCCTCAACACACACACGCACACACATCAAATTCACGTCGACGGTACTCATGCATAATGTGCACGCACGCGGACACACATTGACGGTCCTTTCGCACAGTTGCACAACAGACATAGAAACAGCATCCAAATAGAGGAGCCAAACATTTACACAATATGCGCACAGGCATATCCGATCCATCCCACACACATTGACACAGTTGGCACGTGAGCATCCATGAAGGTGCAGTTGCGTGTGCACTGGCGTACCTGTCAGCGGCAGTTCTGAGGGCGCGACAGTGCTGTCTGAGTGACATCACGCACCTCCACACGCACCACAGCTGGTCCTGATGCTGAGACACCTCACTGGACACGCACTACACACACACACACACCCACCCACACTTCTGTCAAAACTACCCCGCCCTAAAAAAAAACAAAAAAAACATAAGAACAAAGGACAGCCCACATACCTCTCGCTCTCTCTGCCAATGGAACGTCCGACGCTCCGCCTCCTCCAAGGCTCGGGTCAAATCGGCCGTGAGCTTGCGGACACGCTCCGTCAGGATCTCGTTGGCCCGCTCCGATTGGCTGAGCTGCAGCCGCAGGACCGAGGTGGTCTGGGCCAGGCCTGATGCCCTGAAACACACAAATGCACTTGGAATGAAAACGCTCTCTCGCTCGCTCACTCACTCACTCACTCACTCACTCACTCACTCACTCACTCACTCACTCCGTTGGCCCGCTCCGATTGGCTGAGCTGCAGCCGCAGGACCGAGGTGGTCTGGGCCAGGCTTGATGCCCTGAAACACACAAATGCAAATGCACTTGGAATGACAACGCTCTCTCTCTCACACACACACACACACACACACACACACACACACACACACACACACACACACACACACACCTTTGCTGTTCCTCCTCCAGGCTGATGAGGGCGCACTCCAGCGACTCCGAGGTGTCCCTCCCGATGCTCATCTACAAAACACACAGGCAGTGTGCACCACTACAACAATGTGATAACTGCAGGACTATTGTATGACATTGTAGTAGCAGCAGCAGTACATTGACATACGGATCATGTTCACGTCACTTGCTCAGGAAAAGGTGAAAATAAATTAAAAAATCACGATTCTAATTGAGCAAGCGGGCTCCAAATCAGAAAACTTCCTTTGGGACACATAATCCTGAAAAATCTGTACCATTCAAAGTTTGGAAAAAAGTCACTTTGCAATTTTTTTGGGGTTAAAAAAAAAGGATTAGAATGGCAACAATGGCCAATAATTCAGAGAGTCATCAGTCAACTATTCAAAAGGAAGGAAATTGGGCGCCTTTGCCGTGATTGAGCAAATGATACAAAAACGAGGCCTCGACATGCATTTACCTGCGTGCTCATCAGCTGGCTGTGTCCAGCCTTTAGCTCTAACTCCAAACTTTGACATCGTTCTCTGTACTCCATCACCTGCAGGGAAGCAGTGGCGTTAGCAGCATAGCTGGCGCACGCACCCATCCTCGAGTGTTGCTGACCTTGTTCTGCAGCCGATGCACGAGCAGCGCCTGTCGGGCCTCTCTCTCCCTAGCCTCCCTGTCGCGCCTCCTCCTCTCTCTCCGCTCCTCCTCCTCCACCTCCTCACGATGGGTGCGGGACAGCGAGGGAGACACTGACTGCTCCAGCTGGGGAGGGCGAGAACCAGAGAATGAGCATCAGCAAAAGAGTGAGGAGACCGGCGAGGACGCCGCGCACACGCGCTCACCCTCTCGCCCAGCGCCCTGGCCCTGGACGCCAGCTCCTCCCTCTGGGCCCGACTCTCGGCCAGCTCTTCCTGCAGGAGGCGAACTTCCTGCCGCAGCTCCGCCCCAAGGCCGCTGCCGCCGCCACCACGGCGCGTGGTGGTGGTGGTGTTAGCTCGCCAAGTGCCGCCTTGAGATGCGAGTGTCATCTGTTAGGTGAGCGCGTCACGTTTCAAAACTCTCAAATCGCAAATTGTCGTGATCACATTACAACGCAGAATTGACCGTGGAATTTATAAGATGCTAAAATGTGAAATTGATCACATTGTCGCGCAAGCGCCACTTAGGGCCTGTGGTCTGTAGTGCGCAAAGTTTCCCTCATACCGCAAGACAAATAAATCGAATCGACGAGCGAAAGCTGACATCTTGCGAAAAACTGGTGAAACTACACTTGAATCGGTCTCTCGATTTGTACTGGCGTACAAACACGTGAACCGTACACCATTTCCTTCTCATTTACCCGTCCAAAATTAAACTCATCAGTCTCAAAAAGACACAGATTCAACGACGAAAATGAAAGTGAAGCAAACAAGCCCGCCCCCCAATGGGCTCGAACGGCTAAGCAGCGGCATGCTAAGCGGTAGTCGTACAGGGAATGGTAATCTTCAGATAAAAAACAAATGGAAAAAAAACAAGCATTTACCCGGAGGAGGTATTCTCTTGTTGCTTTTGTGTTGTCAACTTATTCAAATGAGGCGGGCAACGAAACCTTTCAACCCAGGCGACGACGCGTGATGATGACGTTCACAAAACAGCTAAAAGACATCCGGGAACGCAACCGCTTTCAACACGAGCTCCTATCACCGATTCCACTTATTAAATTCAACAATTATTTAGACCCCAAAAAGACAACGTCGATTTTAAGCCGCGCCTTTATGGTAAAGTCTGGTGAAAGTCGCAACCATTGGTCTTTGGCTGCCGCTCTCTGCAGGTACCGGATGTACGGCCGCCACATCGAATGGGTGTCGTCCGATGAATGACGTCATGCTATGGCAACTCCAATAGGACAAAGGCTATTACACCCCATTGAAGAGTCAGGCATGCTACAGTGTTCTTTATTTGCGTTTGTTCGTACAATTTGTACATTTAAAGTAAAACAGACAATAACATCAAACTTTACTTACTTTCGTGATTGCCTCATTATTTAAGAATCAGGAAAATTGCTCTTCTTAGCGTTTATTCCTTCAATGTATATTGAGGCTTGAACATTTCTATACAGTATTTAGAATGCCGAGAATTACAAGCAAGTGACTGTACCGTAGTGTTGAGCTGTTCGTTGAAAAGATCCATCCATCTTAATTACAAATGATCAATTACAGTATACTTCAATTAATGGGGCATAGTCTGGGATAGTGTATTTATCGGACCAAATAAATTAGTTCCAACATTTGTATTAGGGGGGAAAAAATACATCTTTTAATTAATAGTATTATTAATCAAAGGCAGCGATCTCCCACCATCGAATCAAAACATTTAGCATACACCCCGCACGAAAAAAATCTCATTACAAGTTCATTCTACCAGCTGTGGCTGCAAATTTCACATTTTGATTTTAAAATGCCCGAAACTATTAATTCATCAATTAAACTCACATTGTGTATAGGAGTGGTGTTGGTAATCCTCTGTCGTAATCAGTGATTTTTTTCGCAATATTGCCCAAAGAACCTCAATCCAATTTCTGCAACACACACCAACCACAATCTTCTGAACAACATTTGGATTGTTTCTTTGTTTATTGTACAACATACTTGTCAAACAGTCAAATGACACCGCGATGGGAGTCGGCGATGAAGTCAAGTTGCACTCAAGATTGTTTTTGGAGGAAATAATGATTCAAATCCACACACTGTAAATTATGGCCGCCCTGAATGCCGTTCTTCCATAGCCAACTTCAACTTGTACAAGGACGCCAGAAGTAGCAAAGGAAAGAACATTCCAACTACCCGCCACGAGTGTGCTAAATTGTCTTACGAGTCAGGACCTGAAGCAGGATATGAAGCACACGGAATAAAAGCACAAACGGATTTCCGTAGAAAAGAAATACCTCCCAATGTGAGCGTGTCATCAGCTGGCAACTTCCCTTTCAGTCTTCTGCAATCTCATGTGATTCTCTTACATGGCCAATGAGCAGCCAGGAGTGGAGGGCTCATGATGTGACATCACTTCCTGATGGTGGGACTTGGGGTCAACTCTTCTAAGGGTGGCGGTGCAATCAACCGTCACGTTGCTGTCATGGACCGAAGCAAAGCAGTCCATGCTGCTGCGTGTGTGAGTGCATGTATACACATGCACACACACACGGCAGTGGGTGTTGAGATCACACTAAAGGCCCAGGGACTTGCGTACGATCTTCTGAGCCAGTTTGTAAAAGTGATCCCGGTCCTCCCGCCACATTTTCGAGGCGTCCACGTTGGCGCCGCTTTCGTCATTCGGCTCTGTGTGAGAGAGAAAGAGAGAGACACACACACAAGAGGGGAATGAGTGTGATCAGTTTCCATGGTGACGTGTTTTTTGTGTCCACTGCGGAAACTATCCCAGCCGTCTTCGGGCAGTAGGCGGGGGACACCCTGAAACGGTTGCCAGCCAATCACAGGGCACACAGAGACCAACAACCATCCGCACCCACACTCACACCTTGGGACAATTTTGAGTATCAAACAGCATGCCATGCATGTTTTTGTAATGTGGGAGGAAACCGGAGTACCCGGAGGAAACCCACACAGGCCGGTGGAGAACATGCAACCTCCACACCACACAGGGAGGCCGGAGCTGAATTGAACCTGCTACCTCTCCACTGTGAGGTTGAAGTGCTAACCACTGGACCACCCACACACCCACACCCACCCACCCACACACATATAAAATGACACTAGCCATGATTTGGTAATTGAACTAATGTGCTGAATACGCACTAGAAATGTC